AAGACAGTTGGATCAACTCAGCAAACTTTAGAAAATATCTCTAACATACCAGGAAATGGGTCCTTCTCATCACCATCATCTTCTCACTTACCTTTGGAAAATGAAAAACAGCAGCAGCTTCAGTCCAAGGCATTTAACACAGAAACGCTGACTACCATCCAGACACAGGACATCTCACAGCCTGGGACCTTTCCAGCAGTTTCTGCCTCTAGTCAGCTACCTGGCAGTGAGGCACTACTCCAGCAGGCTACCCAATTTCAGGCAAGAGAAACTCAGTCTAGAGAAGTATTACAGTCAGATGGTACAGTAGTTAACTTGTCCCAACTAACTGAGGCCGCACAACAACAGCAGCAGACACCACTACAAGAACAAGCACAGACTTTACAGCAGCAAATTTCATCAAATATTTTTCCCTCACCAAGTAGTGTGAGTCAGCTACAGAATACTATTCAGCAGTTGCAAGCAGGAAGTTTTACAGGCAGTGCTACTAGTAGCAACAGTGGAAGTGTTGATTTGGTCCAGCAGGTTTTAGAGGCACAACAACAGTTATCTTCAGTTTTATTTTCTGCTACAGATGGTAATGACAATGTTCAAGAACAGCTCAGTGCAGACATTTTTCAACAAGTCAGTCAAATTCAAAATAGTGTAAGCTCTGGAATGTTTTCTTCAACAGAGCCAGCTGTCCACACCAGGCAAGATAATTTAATACCTGGAAGAGCTGAAAGTGTTCGTCCACAGACTGAAAGTGCATTGTCTAATCAACAGCAGCAACAGCAGCAACAGCAAGTGATGGAACCATCAGCTGCAATGGTGATGGAAATGCAGCAGAGTATTTGCCAGGCAGCTGCCCAAATTCAGTCAGAATTATTCCCTTCAACTCCTTCAGCAAATGGAAACCTTCAACAGTCTCCAGTTTACCAGCAGCCTTCTCACATGATGAGTGCGCTCTCTGCCAACGAGGACATACAAATGCAGTGTGAATTGTTTTCTTCTCCTGCAGTTTCTGGCAGTGAAACTTCTACAACCACCACACAGCAAGTTGCAACCCCTGGCACTACCATGTTTCAAACACCAAGTTCAGCAGATGGAGAAGAAACTGGAGCACAAGCAAAACAGATTCAGAACAGTGTCTTTCAGACCATGGTCCAGATGCAACATAGTGGGGACAGTCAGCCTCAAGTTAACCTTTTTTCATCTACAAAAAGTATGATGAGTGTTCAGAATAGTGGTACCCCCCAACAAGGTAATGGTTTATTCCAGCAAGGGAATGAGATGATGTCACTTCAGTCTGGGAGTTTTTTGCCACAGCCTTCTCACTCACAGACTCAACTTTTCCATCCTCAAAATCCAATTGCTGATCCTCAGAATCTTACCCAGGAAACTCAAGGTTCTATTTTTCATAGTCCGAATCCTATTGTCCACAGTCAAACATCTACACCATCCTCTGAACAAATGCAACCTCCAATGTTTCACTCTCAGAATACTATTTCTGTGTTGCAGGGCTCTTCAGTTCCACAAGAACAGCAGTCACCCAACATATTTCTTTCCCAAAGTCCTATGAATAATCTTCAAAGTAACACAGTAGCCCAAGAAGAACAGATTTCATTTTTTGCACAGAACTCAATTTCTCCACTTCAGTCAACATCAAACACTGAACAGCAAGCTGCTTTCCAACAGCAATCTCCAATATCACATATCCAGAGCCCTATGCTATCCCAAGAACAGGCTCAACCTTCCCAACAAGGTTTATTTCAGCCTCAGGTCCCACTGGGCTCCCTTCCACCTAATCCAATGCCTCAGAACCAACAAGGAGCAATTTTCCAGGCACAGCACTCAATAGTGGCCATGCAGAGTAGTTCTCCATCTCAGGAGCAGCAGCAGCAGCAGCAGCAGCAGCAACAGCAGCAGCAACAGCAGCAGAACATTTTATTCAGTAATCAGAATACCATGGCTACAATGGCATCTCAAAAGCAGCCACCACCAAACATGATATTTAGCCCAAATCAAAATCCAATGGCTAGTCAGGAGCAACAGAACCAGTCTATTTTTCACCAACAAAATAATATGGCCTCAATGAATCAAGAACAGCAGCCCATGCAATTTCAGAATCAGCCCACAGTTTCCTCACTTCAGAACCCTGGTCCTACTCCATCTGAGTCTTCACAGACCTCCTTGTTCCATAGCTCTCCTCAGATTCAGTTGGTACAAGGGTCACCTAGTTCTCAAGAGCAACAAGTCACACTCTTCCTCTCTCCAGCATCCATGTCTGCCTTGCAGAGCAGTATAAGCCAACAAGACATGCAACAGTCTCCTCTTTATTCCTCTCAGAACAACTTGCCTGGAATCCAAGGAGCCACATCTTCACCTCAACCACAATCTACTTTATTTCACAACACTGCAGGAGGTACAATGAACCAACTACAGAATTCTCCCGGCTCCTCTCAGCCGACTTCAGGAATGTTCTTATTTGGCATTCAGAATAGTAAGAAACTTAATTTCTCATTACTCAATTGAAATGATTACATTATTATTTCAGAAGCAAAATACAGTAGTTTTAAGGGCATAGATTTTAGTTGTAATTCTACCAATTAAAACCTGAGATCTTGGACAATTTAGTTGACCTTTATAAGCCTAACTTTCCATATTATAAAATAGCAATAATATTATATACTTGACAAGCCATTGGGAGGATCAAATGTGGTAATGTACAAAAATGCATGTGTTTGACATTTTAAGGTATAAACGTGAAAGGAAAATAGAATGACAGATAATATCTCAGCCAACTAAAGTAAATAGCTTGTGAGGTGGTAGGCACCTATCTCTAATGTTCATTTATCAAGGAAGAATTAAATAGGAGTTAGGATGATATCTAAGAAAAGTTGTACTTTTATAGTACTTAGAAGAAACCTAAGATAAATTCCACTATCATTCTGTAAAAATCTTTTTATCAGACTGTCAGGTGCCTCACTTTTGATAATATATTGGATAAGCACAGTAACGAATTTCCCCTGGCAATTAATTTTCTTATGAATCATAACTAATCATGTAGCTTTTGTTTTCAATGTCTCCGCAGACTGTAGTCAGCTTTTAACCTCTGGACCAGGTGCATTGCCAGAGCAGTTGATGGCCATAAGTCAACCAGGCCAACCACAAAATGAGGGGCAATCATCTGTGACAACACTTCTGTCTCAGCAAATGCCAGAGAATTCTTCACTGGCATCCTCTATAAACACCAACCAGAACATCGAAAAGATTGATTTGCTTGTTTCTTTGCAAAACCAGGGGAACAACTTGACTGGCTCCTTTTAACTGGATATGTAAGTATTACATTTTTGCTTCTTAGAGAAAAGCATCTGTACATTTTTTTCTTCTTACAGATTTTGGTTAATTTAAAGCACTGCTTAGACTATAATTTATTAAAATATTGATTTCTCACAGGATGGTAAATTACTCTGAATCATAGCGTATGGTCATAATATTAATATTGAGCATTCCTTTTGGCTCTAAGCTTTCTTTTCCTAGAAATAACAGAAATCTGATGAATGCAAATTATTTCCCTCATACTATATGTTGGATATGATCATGCCTTATTTCTCTTTTCTTTAAGAGATATTTAGTGAGAAAAGTATGTGGAAGAATAAATATAAAACTCTACTTACAGTCCTGTAATATACTTTGGGATCTTTAAGGGAGACACAATTTATAGATACTTTCTCTTCTTAGTTAGTTATATTAAATTTTTCTTTTCTTTCTTTTTTTTCCTCTCAGAATTTTCTTGGGGAAAAATCGTGGTTCCAGGACGTCCTGAGATCTTGTGGTTCCGTGAAGCTTACTGAACTATATTACTTAAAAAAAATATATGAAAAACTGAGTATATGGGTAGATTTTATTCTTACTGCAAAAGAGCACACCTGTGCTGCCTATTGCAGTAATTAGATACCAATGTTAACATCTTCGTATTTTATATTCCTAATGACAGTGATGACTGGGAATCTTTGAATTTCTAACTGACAGGATTAATTGTTGCCATTTTCCCGGGCACAGTTTCTTTAAAAGTGCAGTTTAAATTCAAAGTTGTAACACTCAGTTGTTATTGCTATTAGAAAATAATATTTGTTATGTTTACTTTAGATCGTTATTTTCTTTCTTGCATTATTTTAGTCACACAAAGGTTTATGGAAAGGTGAAGTTCATTAATAACTAAAGCTGTGACTTTTTTAAATAAAAGTACAGCTGTTGGATAAAGTGAAGGAATCTTTCAGTTTTTATGGAGAAATTGAAGGGGTAACATTCTGACAAACTGTATTAAGAACTCTACACAAATTAGAGGACTCTGGATTAAACACAAAAGCAGATAATATACTTTACAAAACTGGGGATGGCTGGAATGCTGTTGATATTATTTTTCAGAGAGTTAGTTCTCTATTTCTACTAAGGTTTAGCCATAACTGTGTAGAAAAATCATTATTTTGCGCTATGAAAAATTAAGGAAGTAATACATGGTAAATTATGTTCTGATAATCCTCCTACAGTTGTAACTGACAGTAATTTAATCTGTATTCTTCTTAATCCAGTCTTAGGCTGGAATTCCCTTTTATATGCATCTCTTATTTTCCACTTCCTCTTCACTTCAGTTTAGACAACTATTAATATACTACTGTGACCCTGTAGCAACTTAAAGGGAAAGGCCACTTTGACCCAGGGTGACCTAGCAACTCTGCAGCACAGGGCAAGGAGTGCTCTTTCTGAATTATTGGGAGCTGATTCCTGAGAGAACAATTCGTTTCACCACACATACCCTGCCCCTGTGAACGGTGCTGTTCTGAAGTCTTTAAAATTTTCCCTCTAATAAAAAACAGTATACATTTTCATTTGAAAAACAAAGGCAAACTAAAATTTCTTGAAACATTACTTTTCCCTGAGCTGCAGTGAATATAATTCACTTGTCACCTCAGTGCTTTAAAGTTAAAGAGGTCACTTACCTGATGGCTCCCCCAAGCCTTAGGCTTTACAGGGTCATATCATTGGCTTAAAATGAAGTATACTAACTTGTGTTACATCTATAAAGAGCAAAATAACACACTCCAGAACTTGCAGATGTAGCGTTAGTTATACAGTTTTGGGTGTTCTTGCCACCCATGGGATGCCTGCTTCTAACTACCACCTGTGTCAAGATATGTGCTTATGTCTCATTTTCCTTTGGGCATGTGGAAAGCTGTCAATGCAGTGAAAGGCCAAGTGTGTGTGTGTGTGTGTGGCTTCTATGTACTGATAAAAAAAATTGGTATCCTTGTCCATTTATTTTTTAAATGTACAAAAAATAGCCTGTTAATTGTTGTTGGAAGCTACTTTTCTGTTCAATTTTTTTTCCCCTCTTCCTATCCTATACATTTAGTTGAGCTGTGTGGAATTGTGGTGTTGGTTTTGTTTATATAGCTAGATTTTATCCTTTCTGTGATGTCTTCCTTTGATCTTTGAATGTGCTATTCTTCTGTTGTTCTTTTTATTCTCTTCTATACTTCCTCCCATTCCCCACCCTTTCTTTTTCTTCTCTCTCTCTCTCTCTCTCTCTCTCTCTCTCTCTCTCTCTCTCTGAGAGGCATTGAATTACGTTTTCAGTAGTACAGGCTTCTTGCCGATATGAAGGGAACTTTTCAGAAAGAGACCTACTCTAGGTCATTTAATTTTGAATACAGTTTTCAATCGTTCAAGTTTTGGATGGTTTATATCTAATGTGTGTTTCATTTTTTTGGAAAGCTATATTTTGTATTTAGGAAATGGTATACTATTTTGCTATTTGTACTGAGTGAGTACATTGGCATAAATATAGAAATTTATATATATACATATATATAAACTATTCTTTTTTGCCACACATTTTTGTGGTAAATTTGTGAGTTTGTCTGATGTTCTACCACAACGTGGCGTCTGATAACAGTGAGGGGGGGTTTGTTATGTCTTTATTGAGTATTTAAGTACTTTTTGAAACAAATGACCTGTTCATCTGTAGCCATTCCATCAGGCAGTTCTTGAGGGTATTAGTGGGCCAAAGGCAGATTCCATTGTGTTTGCTGGATCTTTTACTCAGCAAAAAGTTAATGAGTGAGGAAACCTATTGAGACAGTTGTGTCAAGTGGTGTTTCACAAGAATGAGCCATTCAGTCTTTGCTCACTATGTATTTAATATTTTATTATTGTTATTGTTAATTGGCTTTCTGTATTCTATACCTTTTATTTATAAAAACACTAAAAAATCCCATGTTTGTAATTTTAATAACATTTTCCCCATCTTGTAATATCCAAGAGCTACTTTATAAATTCTCTAAACAAAAAGTATTTTTCTCAGTATATCTTCTTCCCTGTCCCAGTCAGGAAAAATTACCCAATATAGTTCAGGTTATGAGAAGGATCATCCACACAATCCAGTGCTTCAGTTTTAAAATGTAAAACTCTGACCCTAGAAGGCTGCCTATATTGTCAGAGAAAGCAAACCCAGCAGGTATTAAAAAAAAAAAAAAAAAACTACACGTTTATTTCTGAATTTTCTTCTGAGAGTACATAGGATACCTTGTCTATTTGTTCAAGATCCAATCAGAATGTATGTTAATACTATACCATGTATGGTGACAATAAGACTGGCTTGTGTGGTGCTTCTGTTCTGTGGTTTAGCAAGAGGTTTATGCTTACAAAATACTGATTGGCAATGCCAAGTTACTGGGACCAATTTTCTGTTTTATAATATCTTGGTTTAGAACAGAGCTTACACCTGAACTGTAGTGGTTTGATTGGATGGAGGCATAAAATCCAATTTTTATTCTCATAAATTTTATGGTCATTTATACAAGGGCTGTGATATGCTTCCATATTCTTATTCAATAATGATAGTTTTTTGTTCTTGGTTTTTTGTTTTTTAACATTATTAAATGTTCCTTACCCCTAAAAGTCAATGTTAAGTTCAACATTCTGAATATATGATTTGGTAACAAAGAGTATTTGTCTTTTTATTGAAGAGTTAGTTCAGTGGTTGATATTTATGCTAATAATGCAGTTTCCTAATTATTGTTACAAGTTGCAGCTGGAAACTGTAGAAAACAGTGAGCCAGCAAAGGCCTTGGAAATAACAATATATTAATTTATGGCAGAAAGACCAAAATAAACTGTGAACCACATTTTTTTATGGTGTTACATTCAATTATTCTTGCTTTCAGCAACTCACACAAATACTTGGAGCTTATCGTCTGTCTGTCTCTGTCATTCTATGTGAATTACTCCTTATTATCATTCCATTTTATATCTGCACCAGTTGAAGATAGTTAGAAGTCATATTTTGCTTCTGAGTTTTATCATATTAATTAGTGTGATAAGATGCCATGTTATTTAGCCAATGGAAACCTGTTTTACCCAGTCTCCCTAGAACAGGTTTTAAAGGGCTTTGTTCCCTATAGAAGCGGTTTTTGTAAAGGGGCCAGCTGGCTGGCCTGCCTGCCTGCCTACCAGCCTGTCTTCCTCTCCGTCCTCCCTTCCCTTCCCATTCTTCCCTCTCCTCCTTCCTACCCTCTTATTTTCCTTCCATCCTAATTTGCTTTTTTAAAAAATATAATGTGCTTGAAATTTCATTATAGTGTATTTCTTGCTCATCAAAACCTTGGCTAATCTATCTACCTATGAAAAATGTCAAAGGAAGATGATGTCCCTTCAGAACTAGGACAATTCATTCCTTTTGACCTTTGAAGCCATTATAAATGCTTGCTTTAGAAAAGTAAAATCATAGATATTATCAACAAAGACCAGAATAAAGTGATTTACTAATTAAATTTAGCATGATTGTAAATATTCATTAGGAGCAATCTGATAATTTTTCATCTTCCTGGTGAAATTTTCTGGCCTAGTATCTATTTCTTAACTGATTATTTAAAACTAATTGGAAATTATATGTAACCTGTTAGCATTACCCTGCATCTTGACCATAGGTTTCATCCCTAACCAAGACAATCATTTTATAACTGCATGTCTTTGGCTATTAGGAAAGACCTAATGAAAGGAAGACTGTAATCCAGCAGATAGATTAAAGGAATAACTCAGGACTGTGTATTGATCAGTGGTACAGCACCTGCCTAGCATGTTCCAGACCCTGGGTCTCATCCCTAACATTACCAAAAAAAAAAAAAAAAAAGAAACTCAGTATATACCCTAGTAAGTGGATTAGTAGAGTCTCCTGACCTATATCTTTAAAAAAGAGGTTTTCCCTTCTGCCTATTTGTGTCACTAGAACTAAATTGTAGAGATTTTTTTCATAATGAGTAGTAAATATCAGAATAATCTGCTTATCGTATGTGAATTACCCCAGTGCTCTTATTACTTTTTAAACCTCTTTATTTTCATATTATTTTGTCTCATTTATTAATAAAATTCTGTTTTTACTCCACTTGCTCTTTCAGGAGATTTTTTTTACATCAGTGTTTTATATCTAGATTAAATGTGTATGGAAAAGTGCCTTTTTACCATGGTAGTGCCCCTTTCTTATTTGGATTTTCACTATTGCCAAAAACATGTAAAGAACTGGTTTTTTATTAAGTCCCAATTTTTACTTCATAAATTCCTTTGTCTTAAGAATAGTAGGAGAGGTGTGCATTGCTAGAATTTGTCCTTAGAGGAGAGTAAGTAAAACTTGACTGGTTAGGCTTTTATAAATTAAGTATAAGTTTGTCTTCATTTCAACTAACAATAAATTTTACCTTACTACTAGTGAATTTTATACTGTGTGTGAGATGATGTAAACAAATGGATGGGTGGTAAATTTCGGGAAGGAACTGTAAAACATCTTTTTATGACCTTAATGAGATGAAAATAAATCACTAAAACATAGGTTAGGTAAGGCCTGATGGTGTCAGTTTTTCTATGGCAAAGCAGTTCATCATAGTGCACTTCTTGCCCAATAGAGTCTCAGTAATTTGCCTGAGAAAACTAATGTCAGGGCCAGGGATTTTGCTCAGTGGTGCCACTACCAGTCTCGCAAGTGCAAGGTCCCAAGTTCAATCCCCGGGACCAAAAACAAACAAACAAAACTAATGTCAAAGAATATATGGAAAAAGTTATAGCTGAGTCTTTTTAGACCTAAGAAAATAATTTTTTAAAATCAGATGTAGTTGGATTGAGAGTCTTTCTGGGTTTGTTAATTTTGCTTTTGTTTTCCATCCCCTCGCTACAGGGATGGTGCTTGTAGAAAAGGCCATCAGCAGCAGTTTGGGACTGTAGTACCTTTGTGATAGAGTTCTGCCTTCCACATGGCAGAGATTTTTTGACTGTTAATGGCACTGAAGACTACAACCTTTATGCAATATTCTTAATACCCTGTTGACATTTTGCACTTTAATCATTCCAAAGTAGCCAGAAATACTATAGAGTAATGATTCTTTCCTAATGAATGCATTTTAACTATTTTGAATACTGTGCCCCTTTTTAATTTGGATATATGACTTGATATTAGTGTTAATGTGTATATTCTCTAAAATGACTTTATAGTGGGACTTACAAATGTATAAAAGGGAAATTATTGCACTTTAACAAATAATTTTAGAAACATTAAAATGTTACTAATCTGTATGTTTGAGAATTAAAGCCCATTCCCCTTCCTATACATTTTGTGTCATATATGTAAGAACATTATAGTATAAACTTTTCTACATGTAAACCAGTGGTTCTTAAAGTATGGTCCTCAACCACCAACTAGCATCAGTGTCAACTGGAAACTAGTTAGAAATGCACATTCTTGGACCTTATCCTAGAGAGACTGAAATGGAGTCGAGCAGATTGTTTTAACAAGCCCTCCAGGTGGTTCTGATGCACACTAAAGTTTGAGAACCTTGGTGTAAAATATATCTAGTGAGAGCAAGAAAGTTTCTTTTCCTACTCATGGAGATAAGATTATACACTGTCCTTTATATAAATTCAGTTTAGTCGGTTATCTATAATCATGTATTAGCAGTGATAATTTATTTTCAGTACTGCCTGAGAAATACATGTATTTTACATACATATACAGTTAATCTGGTTATTCACAATTCAGTTAACTTAGTTTGGCATTTTCCTACCACTTACTAAAAGTTTACATTAAATGACGAATTTAAATATATAGGTGCAATGTTCAATATTTCTTTGGTTACCACATTGAAGTAGCTAAGATCATTGATGGGTGCTAACTTCTCCTGTTTATCCATAATATGGGTACATTGTGGGCAGTGTAATACAAGCTTTCTTTTCATTGCATCTTACTTTATTAGCAGACCACAATTTTGTTGTGGCTAGATCAACTCTTAGAACAGAATTATCATTCCTCATAATTAAATTTATATCTGAAATAGTAAATAAGATGGCTGGCCAGGCTCACCCAACACCTTATGTAATTTCTTCTTTTAATAGATAACACTTCTTTCAATGCAGCTTGCTTCATACAAGAATGTTGCGGTAGAAATATAGACATCCTTGGAGTTTATGCTTCAGATAAGAGTTATTTACTAAAATAAAAAACAAGATAATGAATTATATAATTTGGGCATTTTTCCCTTCTCAGTTGTTAGCATCATGGAAAATGTAAACTAGCCACAGGATAAATAGATTTATTCATTTTTATTTCCTTGTCTATTCAGTACTTCCATAACTATTCTAATCTATTGTTTACAAATCACCAGTTAATTAACTCATGAAAGAAAAAATTCACTTTTCAGATTAGAAGTAAGTGCATAATCATTTTCTAAAAATCACCACTGCTATCCTTCCTATTAGCGGTGGAAGTTTAAGTGGCTTATTCTTCAAGCTTTGGTGCTAGTGAATTCATAGGCAAATTATTGGGAAATGCTCTAGTTACATTCCTCGTTTCTTATTCCCTTTTCCCTACTTTATTGAATAATACTGTATATTCCTAACTCAAAGAATTTTACCCTGATTCTTCTCAACCGCAGTTTTTAATAACCTCCTTTAAAATTTGTGTGTTTAACCCTATTACCCCTACTTGCTTATTCTGATCCATTCTTTCCCCTCACCCTTAGAAAGAATTTGCCTGATTTGTAGAGACTGCTTGCTTCTTATTATTTTTAGCTAGTGCACCTCAGGACAAGTGTACACACACAAACACACACATAAGCCGGGCGTGGAGACCCTATCTCAAAAAAACACACACGTAAAAGATCTCAGATGTGTGAGAATGGGGTTAGAATCAAACTTCTTTGTCCAACAAAGAATTGTCCTTGCAGGGCGTGGTGGTGCACACCTGTAATCCCAACACCCCACCCCACCCCCGGAGGCTGAGGCAGGAGGATCATTGTGAGTTCGAGACCAGCCTGGACTACATAGTAAGTTCCAGGTCAGTCTCAAATATAAGTGAGACCCTGTCTCAAAAAAACCAAAAAAAAAAAGAAGAAGAAGAAGAAGAACTGTCCTCAACAAGTGTGGTGGCCCATGCTTGTAATCCCAGCACTGGGAGACTGAGGCAGCAGGTCACTATAAATTTAAGCCCAGTCTGGATTCCACAGTGAGTTCACGCCCAGCCTAAACTTCATAGAGAGACCCTGTCTCAAAACAAAAAACAACTGTGTTGAATTGGAGTGGTCATGACCTAACTAGTAACAGGCTGATTCCAAAAAACTTGCTCATTTCTTTTGCTCTAATGAATGTGCCTACTCACCTGCTTCCCTTGCTTCCAGTGATAAGCTCCAAGTGATTGCTACTTTTTTGACAACTTTGTACTATTTGATTCATGTCTTATACTTAATCTTTTAGTAAGTATGCTATGAATAGTTCATTAATCTGTTCTCAAGTGGTTTAGCTATCTTTCTGCCATTTTAATTTTTTATTAACTTTATTTGCTTGAGCACACTGATCAACCACTGAACTGCCTTCTGTTGTCCTGCAGTGATATAAAGGTTACATTTTTGTGTATATGGCTTTCATGGTAGGGATTTCAGAGCACTGACACCAGATATTTTGAGTTTGTTCTCTGGGGGAATTTCATTTGCATCTATGTTTTTAGCTATCTGTGATAACTTGTTAAATATTAAAAAGATATTTTGCTTCTATTTGAACATTTGTATACTCGCAACTATATTTCTGTAAACAGCTGCAGTCAAAAATAAAACATTGAAAGTTTTCATTTTGCAGTAGGTTGTTTTTTTTTCAAACTTTGAGCTCATGCACAGGTGTGCAATGCCCTTTGGTCGATTTTGAGCAACATGAGTATGCAGCTGAAATTATATCATTTGGAGTGATGAAATGCAGAAATCTTTTTGAATAGTTTTGTGCTTGCCATTTTGCCAGGTACAATGATATGTGATACATTATGCCATACAGAATAAAAAGTGAGAATGAATCATTATTGTTCTACTTAGTTTGAGTGTTTTTGTGTTAATAAAGTAGTATAAACACATTCAGGTGCTCCTGCCTGCAGTGCTGCTCCTTCAGATGGAGAGTGTCCTCACTGACAGCCTCACTGTAAGAGGTCCTTGCTTAATCATGGCCGTATGGGAGTGGTCTCTCTTGATTGCTTTTATAAAAAACTGGGGGAGGTGGGGTGGGATTTACCTCAGTGGTTCTACTGCCTGCCTTGCAAGTGCAAGGACCTGAGTTCAATCCCCTGCACCCTCCCCAAAAAAAGAAAAGTCCCAGTTCTACCACTTTAACCTTGCTTTTCCTTCCTAGCATTTTCACCATGGAACACATTTGATCATTTAAATTTCTTTTCTTTCTTTCTCTTTTGTACTGGGGATTGAACTCAGGCCCTTGCAAGGTAAGGCGGCAGAACCACTGAGCTAAATCCCTGGCTTTATCATAAATTTCTTCATAAGACCAAGCAAGCATGGCAGTGCACACCTGTGATCCCAGCACTTTGGGAGGCTGAGGCAGGAGGGTTGCTTCAAATTCAAGGCCAGCCTGAATTAGAGGAAGAAACTGTCTCAGAAATCCTAAAAATAAATAAATTTCTTCACAAGAATTCAGCTCCATGAGCACAAACCCTTGGTTCATTGCAGTGTCCCTGTTGCCCAAAAGAGCGCCCAGCCTGTTCACTTGGATACAGCTGAATAAATACTGCCCCAAGGTACTTGCTGCACAACATTATGTGTTGTTTTGTTTTTTCTTCTTACACTCTTTTTCGTGGCTCTTTTTAATGTCCTTGAACCCATTCAAAGTCTGAGTGGTTTGTTCTGTAGAAAGCTTAGTGACCCATGATACCTAAAAGCTTCAGCCATGATTTTTTACTGATTCCTCTGATCCCATCTCCACCAGAATGTCCCTAATGTCTCTATCACAAGCTTCACTGGTATCTGTCAATGTGTATGGGTCTGTTTGGTGAAAATGCAATTTTTTTTAATTTGTAATTTTCAGAAATTTACACAAAAGTGAAAATGAAGGCAGCAGAAAATACTTTGAAACAAACACCCAGCTATCTGTTATTGTGGATGTTGAGGCAAAACATCCAGTAGCTAGACAGCACCCCATGAACAGGATCCTCCTGCCCAACCCAGTGCCACCCTTTCTTTGGCAGGTAAGAGACTGCAATTTTTAAGCCACTGACTTACTGGGCTTTGCATTTCTTATTTTCTTGTAATGCACCACAAGAGGGCAGTCTTTCACCATATTCTACCCACAGTGGGAAGGCACACATTTTGAGAATTGAAATGGAAAATTCAAGTACTGTGCCAAAATTGGGGCCTAGGGCTGTAGTTTACTAGTAGAGCACTTGCCCACCATGTGAAGACCCTAGACTCAATCCCAGCACCAGAATAATAATACTATGCCTAAATTGTTTACCAAAATTAATAAAACTCTAGACCTACAACTTTATCCCAGAAATTGTGTGATCAAAACATCACTTAGCCAAGAATGCACATCACATTAAAGCGTACACATATTTAGTCAGGCGTGGTGGCGCATGCCTATAATCCCAGCACTTGGGAGGCTGAGGCAGGAGGATCGATGTGAGTTCAAGACCAGCCTGGGCTACATAGTTCCAGGTCAGTCTCAACTACATAGGGAGACCCTGTCTTTTAAAAAAAAAAAAAAAAAAAAAAAAAAAAAAAAAAAAAAAAAAAAAGCATACATGTCTTTAGTCCCAGCACTGTGAAAGGCTGAGGCAGGAAAATCCCAGGTTTGAGCCTAGCTTGGGCCCCTTAAGACCCTGCCTCAAAAATTATAAAAAGGAGCCAGGTGTGGTGGCACATGCCTGTAATCCCAACACTTGGAAGGCTGAAGCAGGAGGATCACTGCAACAGGACTGATCTGTGCTACATAGTTTAGCCTACATAGTGAGACCCTATCTCAAAAAATATATATAAGTAAGGGAAGGGGATATAGTTCAGTGCAAAGGCCCTGGCAATCCTCAGTACTAGGATGGGGATGAAGGTGATCAGTGGAAAGTTGTTGGTTTAGCAATGATACAAAAAACTTTGCAGCAGTTTATGTAGATCAGAAATAAGGTTTTCATTTGTTTTTGTGAAGTTTACTGTTGTTTTCTGGTTTTTTTGAGACAGTTTCACTATGTAGCCCAGGCTGGCCTTGAACTCATGGCCATCATCCTGCTCAGCCTTGAGAATTTATAGGTATGTGCTACATCTGGCTGTTTTTAAGCATTGAAATTACAGTTTTCTTGAACTCGGTGTACTAGAAGAGGATTGTGGATGTTGGTTTACTTTCTTGAAAACATTAAATTAGAAGAGTGAAGGGCCAGGGGTTTGGCTCAGTGGTTCTGCTGCTCTGCCTTGAAAGCACAACAGCCCGAGTTCGATTCCTGGTACCGCCCCCCCGCAAAAAAAATTAAAAAACAAAACTAAATTAGAAGAGTGAGGTAAAAAGACTTTTATTAGTTACTCATTTCAAGGCATCTGTGTGTACTGTACATACACAAGTTGAAGGAAGAGTAATAATCATGTCAAGCATTCTACTCATTTCTAGTAAATGAAACCAGTACTTAATCATAAACGAACATGACTTTTTAAAAAGTTACCTTAAGCCGACGGTCAGTCACTTCTTTCTCTAAGCAATTCCCTTCTTCCATAAACCGTACAGAGGTAATTAAAATAGATGACTGTAATGTTAAATACTGCCTAGCCAAAGCTAGCCCTAAAAAATGCAATTAAATTGTGTAGATGACCTTAAAAAAAATTTATAGCATCTTTCTGGAAACACCTCTGCCTGCTTTGCATCCCAGTTGGCCTCTGGCACCCAGATTCTGGCTATATGCCAAGACATCAATAGTAAAAATTTACATTCAGTAATAAAACTTTCCTCTGTAGTCTGTTCCTTCTTGAATTCATTTCTTGTGAGGAAAAGAAAAGATAAAAAAGAAAAAATCTTTAAAGAAAATCAAGGAAGCTGAAAAAATACTAGATTAGATTACATGTTAGAAATCAAGTCCATCTTATTTTCTGGCTTTGACCTGGTTGTCAGTTGGAATGGGCTTGCCCAAATGATGGCCCACAGAAAGGCCAAATGTCTTGTTTTTCTGCTCATCTTGTACCGCCTTTTTCATTAAGAATCCTGCCTGAAAGCTTAGGTCAAAGAGGCTGCTTGGAGCAAAATATAGTGGTGTCTCATCCCAGATTCTCTCCAGGCGTTTCTTCCATCCTTCCAGGACTTGGGTTCGGACATCCAGTGGAGTGTGCCCAATGCTGTATGTCAGTTGAGGTTCTAAGACTTGGAAGCCACAAAAATGCAGAGTGCCACTCTGAGGGATAAAAGCCACAGAGGTAAATCACAACCCTGTGCAATTGGTACTATAAACAAACACCAAAAGTTGGTCAGGGCTTCCCAGTGAGCCCCCCACTAAGGGACCTGGCTACACTAGATCATTTCTTAAATCGTCTAGGGTTCTTAGAGTGTGTCAGGATGTGGCAGAAAACTAGAGAAGCCTGGGGAAATTGGGTCATCTGGACAGAATCAGAGGGCAGATGCACTAATCCTTGGCTAGGAGGCACTGACATCTGACCATGTGCACACAGGAGAATTCGTTCAGTTTTATTCTTTCACCTGCCCACCATCATAGCTGTTACCTATTTTAGCCTACTCAGCAGTACTCTTTTATCTCTCTCTTTTTTTTTTTTTTTTTTTTTTTTTTTTTGTACTGGGGATTGAACTTGGGTCCTTGCACTTGTGATGCAGGTGGTGGCACCACTGAGCTAAATCTCCAGCCCTAGCTAAATTAATAAAACCTTGAAAGTGTGCCAACTTGGCTCTTCTGCCAAAAGTTCTATTACATTAGGGAAAATTTCAGCTTCTCAGCAGCTGACGCTTGCCAAGCCATGCAGATGTGCATTTCTCTGCCTCTCCACATAAGGAGATGAGTCTTTAAAATTGTCCAGGGCTCACATGGTCTGTGAGGCTGTACTAGACTAATGGAGGAAGCCAGGAAGCTTAGAGGGAGGTCTGAGTCATCTGGAGGGAACCAGGGCCCCAGGTTATGTAAATCAAGGGGCAGGTGTACTAGTTGTTGCTTAGGAGACAGTGATATCTGACCATGCTATTAACAGGTCTGGAACGGCAGGCAAGTTTCTGAAGGAAGTGCCTGGTAGTTGTGAATCATTACTATGCTTTTTTGTTTTTCTTGGGGGTACTGGGATTGAACCCTGAGCCTTCTCAGCCACATTCCAAGACTTATTTTTTATTTTGAAACAGAGTCTTGCTAAGTTGCCCAGGCTGGGCTCAAACTTGTGATCCTCTTGTCTCAGTCTCCTGAATGGTTAGGATTACAGGCCTGTGCAAGTACTCCTGGCTATCACTCCACTGTAATCTTCACATCTGAGTAGTTCTCAGCTACTGTCTGGAGGTTTTGGACCTTGTGGAAGCTCAATTAATGAAGTCCCCTGAAGGTTCGTTGAGAATGAGGTACCTGAATTGGCCAGAGCAAAATGTTCACGTCCCCATGGATACCCTGGGGAGAGTACATGGAGCCGCTGCTACCAGTGGTGATGGAAAGCACAGCCTTTTTATTCTGGGAAAGGAAAAACAAGCTTCGTCACCCCACCACTCCCTGGCCACAGCAAATTAATGAACCAGCCCCAGGGAAAAGGACACGCCAGTCGTTTTATTTGCTGTTTACATTATCTCATACTTTGTCTCCTGTGAGGCATAGAGCATGACTCTGCAGAAGTTCCAGCCTAGAAGTCCACAGACAGCAAGTCAGGGGCAGGCCATGAGCCCCACGTGCCTGTGTATGGCCAACAGGTCAAAGCTGTCACTGTCACCAGAATCAGTGATGGCTGATGGCTGCCCCTGTGGAGTTACTTGTTTTTCCCTATCTCCCCACCGTGCTAGGCATACAGTAGTGTCTAGTTGTACTCAAAACTCTGTCTCTAAACAGAATCTACCCAGAATCCAGCTGTTAGGAAACTCAGAATTGGTCACCCACCTTGAAAGGCCCCTTGTCGTACATGTCAGCATATGTGTAGGCAAACCCTGTTATGAACACTCGATCAAACCAGCCTTTCAGAATGGCAGGAACTCCACACCACTGCATTGGGAACTGTGGGACAGAAGACATCGAAGACTCAGATCAGGGACAGCTCCCCTCCCCCCACCCCCAAGCATAGAAAGTGGCTTAGGGTGCTTAGCGGTGCCCATGATGTCACCATGAAAGGAACCCAGACAGGCCTTTTATCATCCCTCAGGAGGAGTTAGCATGTTTAAGAAAAGTGAAAGACTGAGAATACAGATCCAGGTAGGGAATTTGCTTAGCCTGTATGAGGCCTCCGCACAAGTTGGGTCCTCAGCACCGAAAAAACAACAAAAAGCTGTGTTTGACACTACATGCCTGTAGTCCCAATTACTCTGGAGGTTGAGGTAGGAGGATAGCTCAAACCCAAGAGTTCAAGACCAACCTAGGCAATATAGCAAGACCCTGCCTCAAAAAACAAAAAATGAATAAAAACTAAGCCAGGCATGGTGGCACACACCTGTGCTACCAGCGCTGGGAGGCAGAGGTAGGAGGTTCACAGTGTAACACATTCACGATGTGGCTATAATTCATATGTCTTGCTTCTAGGTGACTTGAACCACAGGTCATACATGCATGGCTGTCCTATCGGGCAGCATGGAATAGTCCCATCGGATGGTACAAGCCGCCCAATGGGACTGTCATGTGTTAACACCAGTGGTCTAGCTGGTGGGATGTGTTTATGGGAACTTTTTTATTTTTTTTTTTTTGAGACAGTGTCTCTATGTAGTTCAGTCTGACCTTGAACTCTGTATGTAGCCCAGGGGGCCTTGAACTTGTGGCATTACTCTTGTCTCAGCTTCCTGATTACAGGTATGTGCAGGCATGTGCCACCATGCCTGGGCCCATTCTGGGGCATTTAGCAAGACCTTGTCTCAAAATATAAAAAGGCTGGGGATGTAGCTTAATCTGGCTTAATCCCCAATACCACTTAAAAAAAAAAAAAAAAAAAAAAAAAAAAAAAAAAAAAAAAAAAAAGGAAAGAAAAAAGAAATACATATGGCAGCATCCAGCTCACCGAATAACAAAAAAGAAAAAATTATTTTCCTTGTCCAGCCAAATCAGAACTCCAGTCTGTGCCTAAAAATATAAATATTGGCTGGGTCTGAATAAAGCCACATGAAATAAGATTCCTCTGAAATCACATTTGGTAGCAAAGTCTATAAATAGTTAAGATTGCAGATAAGTTGTCTTCAGTGTGTGATGCCTAAACATTTTTCAAGAGTTTAAGTTAATACCTATAGTACCAAATATGCGATTGTCCCCTGTGTACATGGATATAAAACCCTATCATTTAGAATAAACAAAAGCAAGGGTGGTGATTTATTTAGCTCAGTAGCACCACGCCTGGCAAATGCAAGGTCATGGGTTCAATCCCCGGTACCGATAGATAGATAGATAGATAGATAGATAGATAGATAGATAGATACATGCACTCAAAATTGTGTGTGTGTGTATGTGTGTGTGTGTGTGTGTGTGTGTGCATGTGCGCGCATGTGACTGGTTTATCGGAATTCTTATGACAAAATCTTAGCTGGGTGTGATGACTCAGGCATACAGTCTCAGCTTCTGGAGAGGCTGAGGCAGGAGAACTGCAAGTTTGGGGCTAGCCTAAGCAATTTACCAAGACCTTGTCTCAAAGTTAAAAATGAAAATGGCAGGGATGTAACTAGCTTCAATCCCTGGTACTACAAAAGTAGGAGGAGGATTTGTAGAAAGCTAATTGTAATAGCCTTCTCTAATATTTAAAGAATTAAGCCAGGCATGGTGGCACATGCCTGTAATCTCAGCGCTCTGAAGGCTGAGACAAGAGGATCACCATGAATTCAAAGCCAGTCTGGGATACATAGTTCAAGGCCAACCTGAACTGCATAGCAAGACCATCTCTCAAAAAAAACAAAAAGACTTTTAAAGGGTTGCCGGTTTACAGAAAAGGGACTACAGGGCTCAGAAAACACACAGGATTGACAGCAAGGTTTATAGTTGCACCCCAAATCTGCCACTTATTTGACACATGACCTTTGCTACACAAGCCGCACAGCTTTTCTGTTTCATTTGTCTCATCTGTGAAAAGATGAGCCAGGGGGTCCTTGAGTAGCTTCTCACATCTCCTATCTCTGATTCTCTTAAGGACAAGGGGCCAGATCTGCAGCTGTTAGCGTCAGAGTGGGTTTGTTTAGGCCAGGAGATTTGGTCCCCTGTGAATGTTCTGCATTCAGAGCTGAAAACAGAACTGGCTGGCTTGGAGGTATTAAATGTACTGGTGCTAGGGCTGTAGCTCAGTGGTAGAGCACGTGTTAGCACCACCAGAAAGTCTGCTGTCTCTCAAATTGCTCTTGGAGAAGTGAGATCAATGAGCAGAGAGCCATTCCTGACAGTTCCTTGGTATGAACTGACGCGCTCCTTTTTTTTTTTTTTTTTTAACCGCATATTTCTTTCTCAGGACACTTTCTTTACATGTTCAAAGACTGCCGTAGCGCATTGATTTTGCTAGAATAAGGCCTTGTCTGTGACCTGTCAGAAAACTGTGATCATAAACATATGAATCTGCAGTGTTTACACTGTCCTCCATGTGCTGTTTGGCAGCACACAATCTGCACAGTTATCCTGACAGTGAAGACAACTTACACATCCAATAGAAGCTAAAGACCAAGATCATTTCCAATTCTACAATAGTGATTCAGAGATGAATCTGCTGAAAGAACTGAAAGCTGCTTCTGCTGCTGCTGCCTTGGCCGTATAATAAGATACAGTAAAAAAAAAAGAAAAAACCGGCTAAGCTGGACATGGTGGTGCACACCTGTAATCCCAGCACTTGGGAGGATGAGGATCACTGTGAGTTCCAGGCCAGCCTGGGCTACATAGTGAGCTCTCAAAGCCAGTGTGAACCACATAGTGAGATCCATCTCAAAAAACAAGCAAATGTGGATCAACACAGATCAGTGATGGCGAAACTTTTAGAGCTTTCAATGATACAACAGCCCACTGCAGCATGAATGCCATAGGCTCACCACCACTGACACAGATCAAATTGATGAATGGCTTTTTGGTTTGTTTTTATTTTTCTGAGGCAGGTTCTTGCTATGTCGTGGTCTTAAACTCACTAAGTGGCTCAGGCTGACCTCACACTTGTGGCAACCCTCCTGCCTCAGCCTCTTGAGTATAGGTGTGTGCCAACCACACCTGGCCTCAGTGTAGATCAAGGAGACATTGTGTACAGCTCATTGGCAGAACACGTGCCTACCATGTGTGAGGCCCTTGGTTCAATCTCCAGCACTACAAAAGCGAAAAACAACAAAACAAAACAAAAAAGACATCTGTTGGTCACTGGCTAATTCTTGTGGCACTGATTCATAGCCACAGGCCTGAGAGTCGGAGAAGGAACTTTAAAAAAGGACTGGACGCTTTGCAGCTGGCTGAATGACTGCCAAAACTACAGCCTGTACCACCTTCCTTGGGGAGTGTGCAAAGCCATGTACACTCCACGCTCAACACCACCACCTGGGACTGGGGCTGTAGCTCACTGGTAGATCGCATGCCTGGCAGGCCTAGCCCGCCCTGAGTTCAATCCCCAGTACCTGCAGGAACAAAGAAAAGCCCGGTGGGAATTGGTAGCTGCAAAGTCATTGGGAACAGCCTGGCATTTACAGAGAAGACGACTGTCAGGATGCACACACCGCCCCAGTATTCTCTGCTAAATGGGGAGAAGGCCGTAGGGTGTGCTCGGACAAACTACGCAGGGCCAGCCCCCCTCAGCTGGGACACTGTCTCACAGGTCACGCCACAAACCGGGCCGCTCAGAGAGGGGGCATAATCAACTGGATAAGAACTATGAGTCTGTTTTTGTTTTTTTCTTTCTTTTGCTTGTTTTGAGATGGAGTCTCCCCATGTAATTCGGGCTGGCCTTGAACTCACAGCAATCTTCCTGTCTCAGCCTCGCAAGTACTGGCATTCCAAGTGTGTGGCTCCATGCCTGGCTAATGCTGCAGCTTTGAGGCTGTCACCCGTATTTACAGAGAATGCAGCAGAGTGGTGACTAATCAAGACCCCACAGGTGATGAGGTGACTAGACACCGCTTCCGATGTTCTGCCCCTGCCATACCTGAAATATCACAAGGTCCGCAGCTTCCAACTTCTTCTGCTCAGCCACAATATCCGGGCTCAGGCGGCTTTCTTTATAGGCTAGAGCGGTCTCATCAGAATACTGAAACTTCTCAGGGTGCTTCAGTGTACCTGCCAAGGGGAGCAGAAGAGATTGAGGCCAGAGACCGAGGCTCAGCCCACAGGCAGGTGGTTCCACGGAGCGGGCAGGGCTCCTACCTGTGATGTCCTTTCTGGAAATGATGGGATTGAAGTTCATGGCATAGAGGTCAGACTCGGCCACCTCCCATCCCGTCTTCTTCAGAGCCTCTACAGCGGCCTCTTTCATGGCATAGTTGAAGGACGTCCTCTCTGAGTGAGCCAGGATGATCAGTGCTTTCCTGGTGACTTAGACACACACAAGGCACATGGAAGAGACCCAGCCCAGGCTGAGTATCCCTTACCCTAAGGAACCTTTAGATGTTTTCAGATTTCAGAGTTTTTCAGATTTTTTTCAGAGTCTCACTTGGTAGTTCAGGCTGACCTGGAACTCACTATGTAGCCAGGCTGACCTTGAACTTGCAGCAATCCTTCTGCCTCAGCCTCCCAAGTGCCGGGATTACAGGTGTGCACCACTGATATAGGTGTGTGGCTAATTTTGGACTTTCTGCTTAGGGATGCTCTGCCTGTACCAACCAGCAAAGGTTCAGCTTCAGGAGAGCTGGGGGCCATGAAGGAAGAGGTGACTGTATCATATCATACACTGGGTTATTGCAGTCCAGCTGTCCATCTGCTGCTGAGTACCACAGACTGGGACGTTTAAAACCAAGAAAGACTCACTCTGCAATGACCTGTGACATCACTGCACTAATCCACGAACAGCTTAATCCATTCATGAGGGCAGAGCTTTCAGGATTGAACCAATTACATCTTGTAGGTCCTCTTCTACTTCCATTCCTTTGTGTAGTACTGGGGATTGAACTCGGGTCCTTCACACTGAGCTATATCCCCAGTTTCATCCCCACACCCCCATTTAAAAAAATTTTTGAGACACGTCATTCAGACTGGCCTTGAACTCAATATGTAGCCCAGGCTGACCTCAAACTTGTGGGGATCCACCTGCCTCAGCCTACCAAGTGCTCAGATTATAGGTGTGTGCCACCATGCCTGCCTTTCTTAAATTTTAAGACAGGGGGCTGGGATTTAGCCTGCCTCCCAAGCACGCAAGGTCCTGAGTTCAATCTCCAGTACCAGAAAAAAAAAAAAGGACAAATAATATTGAGGGGGCCAGTGTGGTGGCACACGCCTGTGATCCCAGCACTTGGGAGGCTGAAGCAGGAGGATCCCCGTAAGTTCGAGACCAGCCAAGGATACACAGTGAGATCAAGGCCAGCATGAACTGCATAGTGAGACCTTGCCTCAAAAAAAAAAATAAATAAATAAATAAAGGATGCTGGGGATTTAGCTCAGTGGTTCTGCCACCTGCTTCACAAGCACAGGACCCAAGTTCAATGCCCAGTACAAAAATGAAAAAAGAAGGGCCAGGCATTTAACTCAGTGGCATTGCACCTGCTTTGCCAAGCACAAGGTCCTCAGTTCGATCCCCAGTACAATGTGTGTGTGTGTGTGTGTGTGTGTGTGTGTGTGTGTGTGTGTGTGTGTGTGCGTGCGGGGGCGGGGGGCTGTAAAGATTGTAGAAAAACCAGCATATTACCGATGGGAAGATGAATTGCCTCTTTGGGGAAAGCAGGCTGAATCTTTTAAATTTTCAGACATAGATTTTTGACCCAGCTCACTAATTTTAGGGAATCTATTCTATAGACTAAATATATAAGGATAGGTACCTCGCTGGCAAGCTGGGAGCCCTGAGTTTGATTCCTGGTACAAAAAAAAAAAAATCAGGTTATATAGGAACAAGGACATATACCGTACCATTCTTTTTTTTTTTTTTTTTTTTTTTTTTTGTACTGGGGATTGAACTTGGGACTTTGTGCTTGCAAGGTAGGCACAGTGCCACTAAGCTAAATCCTCAACCCTGCATCATTCTTTTCATAGCAAAACTTAGACAGAACCTGGTTGCCTACTTATGAGAAATATCTGAATAAACTGTGGCTCTATCCTCACTACAGGATTGGGAGAGGCATTGTTTTTGAGACAAGGTCGTGCTTTTATAGCCCAGTCTGACGGTGAACTCACTATCCCTCTGCCTCAGCCTCCCAAGCCCTGCAAATGCAACCACGCACCAGCTGGTTTGCTGCAGGATACTTTGTTACTAACAGAAAATGCAGAGGGACTGGCCTGTAGCTTTGGGCAGAGCATTTGCCTAGGATGCCTGAAGCCTTGAGCTTGATCCCTAGCACCAGGATTGGGGCAGCTCAGAAAGATGTGTGTGTTTTCCCCCAGTACCGAGGATCAAACTCAGGTGCTAGGGCAGGTGCAGTGCCGCGGAGCTAAATCCCCAGCCCTCCATTCTGTATCGTTAACTGATACAAAAGCAAGTGAATGTGAATCAGTTTTTCTTGAGAGAAGGAAGGAAAACTGCATATATATAGATATTGGTATGAGGCAAAAAAAAGGAATAATCACCGTAAATTATTAATTGTTTTAAACGAGATGGCAAAGAGGTAGTGGCAGGGAGAAAGACTTGCCTTTTTCTTGGACTTCCTCTTCAGTAGTAATAAAGCTGAACAAGCTTCACTTTGCAGTAACAGCATTTAACTGGGGCTGTTATGTGATGCTAGGCACTGCAGTAAGTACTTCCTTTCTTTTTTACTTGTCAACGACAGCCTGCCCTGGTGAGAATGACACCAAGTGTCAGGTGTCTCCAATGTTACAGTGTAAGCGGTGGGTCCTATAGGAGAGGACTGGGCCACGAGGGCTCCGTGCCGGCTCACCGGACTGAGGCCTTTATAAAGGAGCCCTGTGCGGCTGCCTGGCCAGCTCCTCCTGCCTGCCACCTGCTCCTTGGAGGATGCGGCTTTCACCAGATCACCGAACCTGAAGATGCCTGAGCTGGGACTTCCAGCCTCCAGAACTGTGAGGGTAAAACAAGTTCTGTTCTTTATAAGTTGATCACTCACGGTGTTGTTAACAGCAGCAGAAAACGGACCAAGACTAGGACTCTGGGGTAGATCCAATCAGAACGCAATGCTATGGGTAAGAAAACAAGGCCCAGGGCCTGGGGATTTAGCTCAGTGGTTCCACCGCCTGCCTCACAAGTGCAAGGGCCAGAGACTTCGATCCCGGTACAAAAAAAAAAAAAAAGAAAGAAAGAAAGAAAGAAAAGAAAACTAAGGCCTAGAAATGTAAATACCCAAGTTTACATACTAAGCAGTAAAGGCACGTTTAAGTTGCCAGTGCTCTTTCTGCTATACTAACCGCACCTGGCAGGGTCAAGCACAATGCAACCTTCTGTACACAGAACCCCGAACGTGTGGCTTTCTGCGTTGAACCTTGGACTCTAAACTAGAATTAAGTGGACTATCAGTTTAATGGTGATTCGGATGTTATGGGAGTGATTTGTCTGTTTTTGAGTGCCGTGGAAAGAGGAAAGTAATTAGCAAATTCTCACCCCTTTTCAATTCATGGGTTTAACACTATTGGGAGAAATATGACCCTTTTAGCTCTGATATGCATTTTCTTTGATTTACCTTTACATTATCAACACTAAACACTGCTTTGTCAGTTTTCTCTCTACTCACTGCGGCTATTAAGCATTTCCTGAGTGATGAAACAATAAACGCACTTCACAGAAAATAATCACGTCAGGATATCCACCGGGTACTCTGACTGCTCACCTTTCAAAAATTTTAAAAAGGGAGCTAGCTGGCACACACCTATAATCCCAGCTACCTGGGAGGCTGAGGTAGGAGGATTGAGCATTTGTGAACAGCCTGAGCAACTAGAGACCGTGTCTCAAAGAAATAAAGAGCCAAGGATTTAGCTTAGTGGTCCCGCCGCCTGCCTCCCAAGCACAAGGGCCTGAGTTTGATCCCCGGTACCAAAAAAAGAAGACAAAATTTGAAAATAAAAAATAAAGGGCTAGGGATGTGGTGGTAGTGTCTCTGGGTTTGATCCCCAGCATCATTTTTTAAAAACATGCATTTTTAAAGAACAGACACTTAAGAGTAATGAGAAGATTTACTACCTAAAGGTAATACTCCTGTTACTAGTTTCCACATCTTTTTTTCTTTTTTCTTGTCACTGGAGGAAGCTTTACTAGAACTCAAGGGGCAGCATGAACGTGGGGGGAAAAGAATGCTCACTGATCCGCGAAGAATACGCAGACTTTTCACTGCAGTCGGGATAAAAACACAGTAAAAGACAATGCAATGGGACGCAGGAGTCAGGAGAAGACAGAGGACAGGAGATCACATCGCGTATGGGTAGCCGGGCGGGCTCCAAGGTGCTGGGTGCGCAGGGCCCGGGAGGACGGATGGGAGGTCAGCACCGGGGCGGCAGCCAGGTGTGCGGTGGGACGCCGCTCCCCTAGCGCGGGCAGGGGCGCCCAGCGTGGGTGGACCTTGTTTTGGTCAGCGACAGAACGGTGGACGGAGGGGCTCTGAGGTCGGAGCGTCTGTGTTGGTGTGGAGGAGCGTCGCGGTGTTGCCGGAGCCTCCGGCCCTGTGGCTCAGCTGTCCGAGAAATACCTCAGGGCCTGGAGAGTGGCGTCTGGGTGGGTCCGGGTGGGCACGGGGTGGAG